GGGTGCTGAGCGTGTGGGTGCTACGCCTGGGGGTGCTGAGCCTGAGGGTGCTACTACTGGGGGTCCTGCGCCTGGGGGTGCTGAGCCTGGGGGTGCTACTACTGGGGGTGCTGAGCCTGGGGGTGCTGAGCCTGGGGGTGCTACGCCTGGGGGTGCTGAGCCTGGGGGTGCCACGCCTGGAGGTGCTGAGCTTGGGGGTGCGGAGCCTGAGGGAGCTGGGCCTGCTCGTGTGGCGTCTGGCGGTGCTGAGCCTGGAGGTTCTCCGGGTGCTTCGTCTCGGCGGGAGCCACTCTCTCCACAGGAGCTGCGCGAGTGGTTTGCCCGGCGCTGGAGGCGTGCTGCTGGAGCTGGAGGTTCTTCGGCTGCTGAGGGTGCTGGTGCCGCGGGTCCCGGAGGTGCTCGTACTGGGAGTACTGGAGCTGCTGGGCCTGCGGGTACGACTGGAGCTGGAGCTGCTGAGGGTGTTGGCGCTGAGGCTACTGCTGTCGGTCCTGGAGGCGGTCCTGCTGGGGGTGCTACTGGTGCTGCTGGAGGTACTGGAGCTGGAGGTGCTGCTGGCGCTGGTGCTGCCGCTGGGGGTACTGGTGCTGTCCCTGCTGTGTCTGGAGTCGCCGCGCGGCCTAGGCCGTACTTCGTTCCGCTCCTTCAGCAGGTTCTTGGTCTCCCGCCTTCTACTGGTCCTCCTCCTCCCTTAGAGTGTCCACAGCCTGTCCCGTCACAGTTACAGTTACAGCCGGCCTCCCCACTGCCCGCTCCTTCTCCCTACACTGGTCCTACTGGAGGTCTTGCTGAGCGTCGTGAGCCTGCGTCTCGCCCTGCGTCGCCTGTCCGTGCTGCTCGCACTAGTGGTCGTGGTTCGCGTCGGCGTCCTCCTCCTGTCCCTGGCACGCACCGGATGTCTCTGCGTCCGTCCACTGCTCCTCTGCGTGCCCCTTTGCCTTCTCCTCCTGAGTCCTCTCTTCCTGCTCTTCCTGACCCGGAGTCGGACTCTCTTCGTGCTGCCAGTCCTACTGTCACGCGTCTCCTTGCTACTGTTGTCACTGACCCTTCCTTTGAGTCCACTGCTGCGTCTGCCCTAGTTACTGAGCTCGTCGACTTTGCTGCTCGCTGTCGTCTAGACTACGCTGCTAGTCTTGTTGCTGAGTCTGAGTCTGTCTGTCCTCCGTCCGTCGGGGGTGAGTGTGCCCTTGGCACGGACGTCCTTGAGGACAGGCAGGAGGAGTTCCAGTGTTTGGCTGCTGCTTCACCTCATCTCGTGTCCGTACTGCTTACCCCTGAGGGAGACCCGGATGCACTTGACATCCCGACTCCGCGCTCTTACGCGGAGGCGATAGAGGGTCCCTACTCCTCTCAGTGGCAGGCAGCTATGGACGCAGAGATGGCTTCCTGGAAGTCCACAGGCACTTACGTTGACGAGGTTCCCCCGCCTGGGGCGAACATCGTCAGTGGCATGTGGATTTTCAGGGTGAAGCGGCCGCCGGGTTCTCCGCCTGTCTTCAAGGCGCGTTACGTGGCTCGTGGCTTCAGTCAGCGGCAGGGAGTTGACTACTTTCAGACCTTCTCTCCCACCCCGAATATGACCACTCTTCGGGTACTGCTGCACATAGCTGCTCACCGCGACTACGAGCTGCACTCTCTTGACTTCAGCACTGCTTTCTTGCAGGGCAGCCTGCACGAGGAGATCTGGCTGCGTCGCCCACCTGGCTTCACTGGGTCTTTTCCTCCTGGCACCCAGTGGAGCCTCCGGCGGCCAGTCTACGGTCTCCGCCAGGCACCGCGTGAGTGGCACGACACACTGAGGACTACACTTGCGGCTCTTGGGTTTGCTCCCTCTACTGCCGACCCGTCGCTGTTTCTGCGCACCGACACTTCTTTGCCGCCGTTCTACATCCTCGTGTACGTCGACGACTTGGTCTTCGCCACAGCTGACACTGCTGGACTCGCCCACGTGAAGTCCGAGCTGCAGAAGAGACACACGTGCACTGACCTGGGTGAATTGCGCAGCTACCTTGGCTTGCAGATCACCCGGGACAGAGCACGCCGCACCATTACCCTGACTCAGTCACACATGGTGCAGCAGGTCCTTCAGCGCTTCGGCCTCACGTACTCCTCGCCTCAGGCCACTCCTCTGCCTACTCGCCACTCGCTCTCAGCTCTGCCTTCGGATGAGTCCGTAGAGTCGAGTGGCCCGTACCCAGAGCTTGTTGGCTGCCTCATGTACCTGATGACCTGCACACGACCTGACCTTGCATACCCTCTTAGCATTCTTGCACGCTATGTTGCTCCTGGGAGACACAGACCGGAGCACATGGCTGCAGCGAAGAGGGTGTTGCGCTACTTGTGCAGTACGTCAGGCATGGGGCTTGTGCTTGGAGGGCAGAGTCCAGTGGTCCTCACTGGGCACGCAGACGCTTCTTGGGCTGACGACCAGGCTACGCAGCGGTCGTCACAGGGTTACACCTTCAGCCTTGGTTCCGGCTCTGTTTCGTGGCGGGCTACCCGCTCGTCTTCTGTTCTCGGCTCCAGTTGTGAGGCTGAGATCTACGCCGGGGCCATGGCTGCACAGGAGCTTCGCTGGCTCACCTACCTGCTGACTGACCTCGGAGAGCCGCCTCGTTCTCCTCCAGTGCTGTACGTAGACAACAAGGCCATGCTGGCCTTGTGTCGAGAGCAGAGACTGGAGCACAGAACGAAGCACATTGCTCTCCGCTACTTCCTTGCTCGTGAGCTACAGCAGCGTGGTCAGCTGCGGCTTGCGTACGTGGCCTCTGAGGCCAACACTGCTGATATCTTCACCAAGGCACTTGCGCCTTGTGATCATCAGCGCTTCTGTACTCAGCTGGGTCTTGTGCCTACCTTGCCTCACTTGCTCACCCCTTGACCTTGTTTGTACTGTTGCATATATATATACACCTGCTCTTGCTTGTCTAGCCTTATATATATATGTCATCCTGCATGTGAACTGGCCTTGTGGCCTTGAACTTGTGCTCGGAATGTGTGGTGACTTTGTGATCCACCCTGAGCTTGCTTTGCTTTGCTTGACTGGTCTTGTGACCCCTTGTTCTCCCCCACTTTGCCTATGGGGGTGTGTCAGATTTATATGACATAGCTACTGTAGGCTATAGTGGGGTAGCACATATGGGGTACAGTTTTCTAGGGTTTGCTTTTGTACCCAACTTTCCCTTAGTCAACTCATTCCTCATTTCTTCACATCGGGCAGCACAAGGGTCAGTGATGAGCAAATTTCGCGCCATTGGGGGGAAGGTGGGGATGGACCTTCCCGATGCGGTTGAGAAATTTCGCCTTTTGGGCGCGCGTAGTTTCTCGGGCGGCATTTCGCCCAAACCTCGGAGGAGGGTTCCGCCCCCGTTTCCATATGCGGTCGCGATGCTGATGCCATCGTTTTCTGTTGAAGAAACGATTTGCTGGCGAACAGCACCTTTGTCTTCGCCAGAGTGACGAGAACGAAAATTAGAACTACAAATTGAGAAATGAAAAGGTGGGTGGGGACGAATGTCCCCACGTCCCTTTTGTAGGCAAAAGAGGGTGAGTAGCGCTTCGGCGCTACCTTTGCTGTGCTGGCCACGTACCCCTTTTCACAATACAAAATTTTAGAAAGTGTTACATTTCATTACACTTTCAAAAATTGTCATTTCAAGTTTGAATTTTCAAGTTTGCTCCCTGCACTCCCCCTCATCTCGTTGTGCGGAGCTTTTCCCAAAGCCCTCCCCCGCTTTCCCCCAACACATCATACTGCGAAGCACTTTTCCGCACGCCCTTCCCCCGCTGGCAGAAACCTCTGCCTACTCGCTTTCCTGTGTATACTGGTTACGCGGCTTTCAAGCTATAATACTTTGAACTGGAGCACCGATATCTGCACCGCGGCTTTATCGATCCCTGATCATTTAACCCACGTCAACCCGTGTGGCCCCTCGTAACCCATGTCTGTTACACGTACCTTTGTGGCCACATACACTCCATGAATGTTGGGTAATCCCAGTTTACTAGTTTCATCAAAAATTCGTAAGCGCCAGTCGAGCGCCACTATGTGAGGATAAAATGACTCTCACTCGAGCAAGTAACTCATAGTCTCTTCATCCTTGTCACTCACCATGCCGCGCCTTCTCCGCGCTCCCAGCTACCCGTTCACATCAAGAGGGCAATATGCGAGCATGTTACCCACCCGCTATTGCGCCATGTCGACCTGGCGCGCTGGTGTTTCACCCGATTCGGTATTCGTCCTGACTGTTCCACCATCGGTCGCGTTCTCAAGGGAGCGGAATGGTGGAAAGCCTCACCTTCGTCTAACAATAGCGTCCGCGTGCGCGGCGGTGCTCATCCGGACCTCAAGCGCGCCATGGTCCGCTGGATTTCGAACGTCGGACCTGCGGGGATCCCGCTCACCTTGTCGACTATCCGCGACCGCGTGGCGGTGATTGCACGCGACATGGGCAAACCACCCTCTTTCCGCTGCTCTGTCGGGTGGGTTCGCCGTGCTATGTGGCGAAATGGCATCCACGGCGAGGCCGCCGATCAGGACATGGCGGCGGTGCGGACTTGCCGGGAGAAGCTGCCTCAGCTTCTCATGTACCTTTCCGTTTCGCCGCGCGATGTTTATAAATTTGACGAGACGTCGCTGTGGATTTCGGTTCTTCCGCGGAAGACATACGGCAGTGCGCGTGTGGCGGGCCGCAAAATCGCAAAGGAACGTCTCACCGTTTGCCTTCTCATGAACGCGGACGGAAGCCACGCGTTCCACCCGCTAGTCATCTCCAAGTCCAAGCGACCGCATGCCTTCCGTCCGGATTACGACCCCAATGCCATTTGTTACTGGCGCCACAACGCCACAGTCAGTATATTTCATGTCGTATGAATGCTAGCGCGCTATGTTACTGCTTTCGCTCACGTGTATTCCGATTCATGCCATCTCTGCACGCTCACGCCCACTCACCGTTGTTTTCCCGCCCCCTCTGTTTCCTTGGCAGCTTTTCACGCACTTCATGGAGCAGCTTGATGCTACTATGTTTGCAGAGGAGCGGAGCATCGTCATTCTACTCGACAATGCTTCCAGCCATGTGCTCAAGAGTGAGCACGCGGAGTCTGAGGACATCTTCGGCTTCCGCACCCGGTCCCTGCGCAACATAAGGCTGGTGTTCCTGCTGCCGAACACCACCTGCTTCACCCAGCCGCTGGACCAGGGCCTCATCGCGATAATGAAGGCTCGGTACCGCCAGCACTGGCTCGAGGCGGTAATGGCGTTGTGGGTGGACGCCGGCTCCACGGCGGCTCTGGCGCCCTACAAGCCGAACATCCGCGATGTCCTCAATTGGCTCTAGGACGCGTGGATGAACATCGGCCCGCGCACCATCCAGCGTTGCTGGTGGTGCACGGGCTGTCTCCCGCTCGCATGGGCCTTATCCTTGGCCCACGTGGGCGCTGCTGGACTCACAGGCGCCGCCCCTCTCGCCATCGATCTCAACGAGGAGATCGGCGACGTGGGCGTTTTGATCGACCGGCTTGCACTCGGTTCGAGTGCAATGCCTGCCGCCGACTTCGTCGCGATTAATGACGGGCAGCCGACGTGCGCCGAACCGGACGAGGATGCCCTCGCCCTCGAGCCTGCCTCGGCGTATTCCGCGCAGTCTTGGGAACCGCCCGCAACCATGCAGGCAGTGTACGACAATGTGGACCCGGCGAAGCGCGAAGCACGTTGCACGGCACGGGCGGCATGTGAAATGCTCATCGGATATGCGCGCGCGACATGTATCACCCCCCGCGAGCTGTCTGAAATTCACAACCCGATTATCATCAAGCGCATGGAGAGGGCAAGCCCGCATATCAACCTCAACACGACGCCGATCGCCACTCCCGCGCCTTTCGCCACGCCTGATGGCGCGCGCCCTCGTCCACGCGGTCGCGTCCTCCCAGCGTGGATGACGGCGCCCTCCCCCCGACAGGCGCTGATTGACGCCGGCACTGCTGTCGTCATGGCCGGTTTCAGAGTGGGTGCGTTTGTGAACGCTGTAGACTCCTATCAGAGGAGTTGGTTTTCCTCTCCTGCCTGGCACCAGAGTCAACCTCTCGCTGACATTGGTGCAATGTCAGCGTTGACTGATTTAGTTTTGAGCGTCCCAATTGTCGAGCTGTGATTGGTCCAGGAGAGCAAAAACATTTTGGACGTGGTTGGGTTGTCAAATGTCTATGTTTGTGAGTCGGTGGGTTGTCACATGTAATAGGGCGATACAGGAATGGGAAAACAATGTGGTAACTACATCTACACAGATGGAACAATGGCAGCTACCCCTCACTGTTCCGGTAAAAACAAACCAGTTACATACTGTGTTTTTTATAAACACTCGATGTACTTGTACCACCGCCCAAACGCAAAAGCACATGCCTGTGGCATCTGTCGTGGCTTCTAGAATCCGAACCACAGGTGTGTTTGGATGGGTGACATGACAAACAGTGGTGGTGTTTTGGTTGTCCGTTTGGGGAACATACAGCTGCATACTGAATTGAGAAATGCTGGTGGGTTTTTAGTTTACACCCTCATTCTCATTAGACTGGTATCTGTTATACTAACCAGAACGCCTTGGGTAACCGCAACGGACCGAAGAAGGTCCTATCACATGCGTTATAGTGACAATATGACTCAAGGCGTTTAGTCAAGGTTTTATACGTTCTAGATTGGTACTGTTGTTTCCAAAGTGGTTGGGACAGGTTTTCAGCGTTAACGGTTTTTAATGGCCCAACGCTTGTTTCGCCGCCTCGTGCGACTTTGCCCGCAACCGAGTTATCACACCAGCCCGCAACGTTCAAACACTGTAGCCAGTGCTTCCGTCGGTGAGATGGCTGAGAACGAGGGTGTACACCTAACCACCGCTATTTGTTTTCGGTCTATTTTGAACCCCCACGTGTGCAAAGGGGTATGCACACTTCATATATTTTTTTCTCTAGGGTTGTGTCGGACGTCATACGCTCTACACACAGTGATGTTCCTGACTCCTAAAAGCTACGCAATGGGATGCGAAACAGAAAAACAGACTTCACACGAGCGGAAATTGTATACACTCGCACGATTGAAATCTCCAGCATCCAGCAATTGACATCACTCATGGCCCCCCATATCTAGGTGTCTAACTTGCACCCCCGAAAGTAGGGCAGGGTATATATGAATAGCGGAAACAGTGCACGGTGGTGGATTGAAAATAGTGGTGGTTACTGGGAAGGTACTCTCGAGAAGGTACTACAGGACAAACTTTGCTCCGTGCAAACTTAGGTGTACACTACAAGGAAGGTACACACGATGCCCAACCCATGCACGCGAATTTGCCTTGCACATTTTAGAAACACCGCACCCGGAGAAATTTTGCGGGGCAGTTGCACCCCGTGTATAAGCCCATATAACAAGTGGCATACGGTCTGGAAGACGCCAAAGCCTGGACGTGTAGCACAAGACAAGCTCTATTGACCGGGTTCGGGCTGGTTTTGTGGCCAGATACAAACTCTGCAAAATGCAGGGACGAAACACAATGGGCCTCGCTAGCAACTTCGCCTGTGACTGGGTGCCACGTAGGGGGTTTCATGGTGCTTCAAACAGACTTGAGCAAGGTTCACCGTGCCACATGGACCTTGCCCAAACACGGTACAAACCCCTTTTGAACCATTCGTTGTTCAAAATGCACATGTCACAACTGGTGGTTGTAGTAACAGGGTAGCCCCCGCCACAAATGAAGGTTGAATGCAGGGCTTGAACTTGACATTTCGCGCACCGAGCCCACTACTGAACGCGCTCCTCACACTCACGCTGGATCACATCTGGCCTGCATAACATAGCTAAGAAACTCACTCGACAACCAGTATCTCCTTACCTACGAGGCTAGCCATGCCTCGTCTTTACCGCCGCTCCCAGCTCGCCATGCATATCAAGAGAGCTATCTGTGCCCACCATGTCGCGAGCCCTCGCCTGCGCCACATTGATCTTGTTTGTTGGTGTTTCACCCGCTTCGGAATTCGGCCCGCCGTTCGACGATTGGGCGCGTTTTGAAGGGGTCTGAATGATGGGCCGCCACTACGACGAACAATGACGTCGTCCGCGTCCGGGCCGGCGCACACCCGGAACAGGAGTGAGCTATGGCTCGCTGGATTGCCAACGCGGGCCCGGCTAGCGTCCCTCTCACGCTGGCGACCATTCGCGACCATGTCGCGACCATGGCATGTGGCATGGTCTTGCCGGCGACATTCCGCTGCTCGATCGGTTGGATGCGCCGTGCATTGCGCCGCCAGGGTGTCCGTTGTCTGAGCGCCATCGGCAAGGCGGCTGACCAGGACATGGCCGTTGTGCGAACTACTCGCGAGAAGCTTCCGCAGTTGCTCATGCATCTCTCGGTTCGGGTGCGAGATGTGTACAATTTTGATAAAACGGCGCTTTACATCTCCGTGCTGCCCCGAAAGACTTACGGCAACGGGCGCGTGGCGGGTCGGAAGGTGCCCAAGGATCGCCTTACCGTCGGCTTCCTTGTCAACGCCGACGGTTTGCACTCGTTCCGCCCGTTGGTCATCTCGAAAGCCAAGCGGCCCAATGACTTCCGCCCCGATTACGATCCTGACGAGGTCTGCTATTGGCGCAGCACAGCCAAGGGCTGGATGACTATACCGATGAGTTATAGGGTGGGACAGGCTACAGTAGAATACCACGGTTTCGCATTCATCCAGTCTTCGGTTATTCGCTTTTCCAGTTCTGGTGTTTTTCGGTTTTGATATATATTTACAATTGATACATTGTATGTGCTTCTCCCTCTTTCCCATGCGCAAAAATGCAGGTTTTCTCTCACTTCATCGAGCAGCTTAATGTTGCCATGTACGCCGAGGACCGTAACATTGTCATTTTGATGGACAATGCTAGCAGCCACTTGCTCAAGTCGAAAGAGGCTGAGTCGGAATACCTCTTTGGCTTCCGCACGCGCAAGCTCAGCAACGTCCACATCGTGTACCTGCCGCCAAACACCACGGCCTTCACCCAGCCCCTCGATCAGGGGATCATTGCAACGGCGAAGGCGTGGTACCGTGCGCATTGGCTGAGCGCCTTCACGGCGCATTGGTCGGCGGATGGTGCAACGTCTGCGATGGCTCGGTACAAGCCGAACTTTCGCCACGTGCTGGCCTGGCTTTGCGACGCTTGGATGAACATCGAGCGTCGCACAATACAGCGGTGCTGGTGGCGCACCGAGTGCCTCCCACGTGCGTGGGCAATGGAACTTGAGCACGTGGGCAACGGTGGCAATGGCGTCAACGGCGGCAACGGCGCCGCCAACACTGAGCTCGAGGAGGCCGTGGGCGACGTGGGGATTCTGATCGATCGCCTCGGCCTTGGATCGGTCGCGATGCCGGCTGGTGACTTCATGCGCAATCGATGACAACCAGCCGACTTGCGCCGAACCGGGCCAGGACCCGCTGGTGACTGAGCCGCCGTCTGCCCCGGTTGCTGAGATGTGGGAGGCACCGGCCAACATGCAAGCCGTCTACGACGACGGCAACCCCGCCACCCGCGAGGCACGGTGCTACGCGCGCGCCGCAAGCGAGATGCTTATCGGCTACGCGAGGGCCACCGGCATCACCTTGACCTCTACGCACTTTTCGACATCCGTAACCCCATCATCAAGGGCCGGATGGAGCGCACAAGCCCGGCTCTTAATCTGAACAGCACGCCTCCTCCCTCCATGCCCCTTGGCGCCACCCCGCCTGCTGAGACCCCTCGTCGCCGTGGCTGTGTGCTGCTGGAGTGGATGACGCAACCGACGCCAGAGTGGGTTACTCTGGCTCAGCAGGCGGCACGCCGCCAGGAGCTCATTGATGCAGGGGCGCCCGCCGTTATGGGCGGCTACCTGGATGCTGCCAAGTGGATGCGGCTGTGAGGGGCTTGAGACCCCTTTGAGGAGGGATGGTCTCCTCCTGTGTAAATGTGCAAGACTCGTGCACATTTACACCAACATGTAGCAATGACATGGACATTGCATGGGTGCAGGTGTGGCTTGTTTATTGATGCGTTGGTTAGGAGAGAGTGTTTGTGACAGGGTGGAATGTGTTTTGTAATCGCATGCAATGCTGAAGTGGAAAAACGGTGGTAACCAGGTTCACGAACACTCAACAAGGCTTGCGAGCCAACACTGTGCGGGGAAAAACGAACGTATTGCAACCCGTGTTTTTTAAAACCACCTTGAGACCCTGGCGAAACTCCGCGAACTGGTCGTAATGCAAAAATCACTAATAAGCCCAGAGCACAACCCAAGTACGGGGGACTCAAACGAGCATCAGGTGTACTCTCAAGAAGTACTACTGGACAAACTTAGCACGGCCAGGGAACAGTTGCGTGGATATTGAATCTCAAAGCATTCAGTTATTACACTTGTTCTTTGATATTTTCACACCCCGTAAATCGTACACGGGGGTTTGTCTGTTATGGGGGGTGTGAAGTCATCCCCAACAGAACAGTTGTGCCGAATTTCACGCGCGCTGAGTCAGCGCGCGTGGAAAGCGAAGTGGCGAGGCTGACTCAACATCGCTCTACAATACGAACAGAATAGGCGTGAAAAAAGGGGAGATGAAGTGAAGTGCTGAAGTGAAAGAAAATTAGAGTACAATAGAGAAAAACAAAACAGAAGAACAAAGCAAACAACATAAGCAATAATAAAAACCAGAAACGTGAAGGGGCATGCAAAGGGACCACGCCGTGAAGTATATGACGCTCCACACTACACGTTAAGCCAGGCATATGTGAACTCCACATTATCTTCTGAAAGAAGTTTCATAAAGTTGCTGTAGGGACTAGCACGCTTGGTAGAGGGGAAATTGTACCGGTAGATGGTTGAATCGTAGTCGAACGCATGCAACACCGTTGTTGTTGCTGCTGCATCTTCACCGGACATACGTGCCTCTGAGGGGGTTGTGTCGTTCAGATCGAAAGTAACACCGCTGCTCCCGGGTCACGTAGTCCACCAACTCCTTCCCACCCATTCGGCATCGTTTTTCAAGCGAGTAGAAGTTGCGATGTGTGCGTCACACGCAACAAACTCTTGACGGTCATCATAGGTTCGTTGATCTTCAGTTTCGACAACAAACAGGTCAGCAATGTGATATCGGCATCTTCCGGATCCTTTGACGAGCCTTGAAAGATACGTTCCAATCCCTATTCCTTCAACCACTTGTAGGGCACCACGCCCGAACGTCGCCAACACCTCCTAATGATCTCCCTCCCTATGGTGCTCCACACTCTGCAAATCCACGTAATGGCCAGCCGCAACTCTTCCCGAATCGATTTACATTCCTCTTGATCACGCGTCCGTTCAAACTCATCGATCAACCACACGACCAAAAGCTTCTGATAGCACAACTTCAACGTTGCGGTGGCGCCTTGGTCCAAGGGTTGAACGTGCGGTGTGCAGTTGGGGGGGAGATAAATCACCCTCAAATTGGGAAACTCGACAATCCGGATGCCGTCCCACCAATATTCGCGCTTTCCCTCGAGGTTGTGCACGTTGTGCGAGCTAGCGTTGTCCACTAAGATTGCGAACTTGCAGTCCTTGTATTTCATAGAGCCGTCCACTGCGTCCACCCACTTAGTAAAATCTAGACAAGAAATTGAACTCCACGCAAAGATTCGATCAGAATTCTTATCACATGATACTCATGCATATTTAAAGGTTACAACACATAAAAAGAATGGAGCCAAACTTACCTCTGAAGTCATCCATGCACGCTTGTTCGCACGGTATCATTTGTAGTCTACGAGGAAATCATCCTTGAATGAGGTCGGACGCAATGCCTTTCCGATCACGGTCAGTTTCATCAAGTCCATCCCGTCCGCGTTGCAACACAGTGCAAGGGTGAAACGCTCTTAGTGAAGCTTCCCTCCGGCCACCGATTCGTTCGCATACGTTCACCGTGGTTGTCAACCAAAAAAAAATATGGTCTCGTCCATGTTATACACATCCGAGGGCTCATAGCCGAAATCCTTCAAGAGTTTTGGAATGGTCTCTCTAGCTAGGCCTATGCATTCGGAATTGTCTTTTGCCTCACCCTTCCTCTGGTAGGATGACATGCCCATACGTGCTAGCGCATGGCAAAGCCATCCTGGAGAAACCATGAAGTCGCTTGGAAGGCACATGGCTTTGGCACATGATTTTTTAAAAAGTGTGTGAAATGTGATTGGCAAGTTGGCAGCGGTTTGCATCACTGCCCACGCATGCAACCTAGACTCCAAAGCAGGGAACTTGCCTTGACGGAGAATTTTCTGTCTGGCAGAAGCAAAGATGGAACGGTCCATTTTGTGGAGTTCTTAAGAATTTTAGAGACCGTGGTACACCAAGTTGCTTTTTAAACTTAGAGAAACACCAACAGAAGGTACATATAGCAAACTAACAAAGGTGCACCACCAAACAAGCAATTAACGAACTACAGCAAGCAGGATAGATATTAAATATAACTTTAACACACCCCCTTAGCCTGCTTGCAGGAATAAATAGTCCAATCAACACCCCCTAAAAGGGTACACCTGGCGCAGTGGAAGACGGCAGAGAGTTAAATGAGGATGAGGAGGCGAGAGGGAGAGAGGAGAGGAGAGGGGAGAAGTACGAAGAAGGAGGTGAGAGAGGGATGAGGCGAGGAGTTGAGGGGGAGCCACCCGTGGCGAAACCCTCGTAGTAACCCCCTTTTACAAAGGGGGGAGGTGAGAGAGTGACGAGGAGAGGAGGTGGGGGGAGCCAAGCACGGCGAAACCCCCCTTAGTAACCCCCAAATCCCCACACCCATTCAACCACCCCCCCTTAACCTCACCCCCCATAACAGCCGCCCCCGGGACCGCACCCTTCCCCCCCCCCCCCCCCCTCTTCCTTCCTCCACACCCCTGCCCCACCCACGGTAGTCCCTACAGCAGGGTCTCTGCTGGCGGTGTAGCTGCTGGCGGGGTCTCTGCTGGCGGGGTCTCTGCTGGCGGGGTCTCTGCTGGCGGGGGTCTCTGCTGGCGGGGGTCTCTGCTGGCGGGGTCTCTGCTGGCGGGGGTCTCTGCTGGCGGGGTCTCTGCTGGCGGGGTCTCTGCTGGCGGGGGTCTCTACTCGCGGGGTTTCTGCTCGCGGGGACTCTGCTGGCGGGGTCTGTGCTGGGGGGGTCTGTGCTGGCAGGGTTTCTGCTGGCGGGGTCTCTGCTGGCGGGGTCTCTGCTGGCGGGGTCTCTGCTGGCGTTGTCGCTGCTGGCGGGGTCGCTGCTGGCGGTTCCGCGTGTTTGCTTGCTGGCGGGCTTGCGGGTCGCGTACGATCTGGAGCGTGCAGTGGCGGAGCAGTAGCTTCACCCGCCATTCCCGCCACTCCCTTCACAGCAGCTACGAAGTCGACGGGAGGGCGGGCAGGGACGGAGCGGGACGGGACAAAACGCGGGCTGGCGCATGCTCAAGTGACGGCCGCCACCCCTTTCCCCTTCTCCTCTCCCCCCCCCCCCCCCCCCCCCCCCCCCCCCCCTTCCCCCCCCCCCCCCGCTGCGACCGTCGATGTTTCCACGCCAGGGAGCCGCAACGAGGCAGCGTGACGGGGAAGGGCGATGGGGAACGCAGTGGCGGGTCGAGGGGCCGACGGGGGGGAAGAGTGGCGGCGCGAAACAGCGGGTCGACGAGCGCCGTCACTCCCGCCGCGGCTGTTGCGTCTGTCACGACTACCGTGACGGATTTTGCTACGGGCGAGCGACGGGGAGGGACGGACGGAGCCGCGATTTGCTGCTTGACGGGACGCGCCATCGCGAAAGCTAATGGTGGGCCCTTAGGAAATTAGGTCGGTAACGACCTAGCTCAATATCATGTCACGATATGGATGTAATCTAGGCGACGAGTTTAACTAATAGGCCTAGGCTTAGTAGCCTAGGCCAAGCGGGATTCGAGAGAGTTGTGCCAAGGAGAATATCAAGAATGGTTGGGTTCACTATAGCACACAAGGTACATATAGCAAACTAGCAAAGGTGCACCACCAAACAAGCAATTAACGAACTACACTACACTACAATAACTAGAGCAAACAGGATAGATATTAAATATAACTTTTACAGCAACCTTACGCCTGGCTGCAGCAGATGGTGAAGCGTGCGAAGTTCATCTGCGGTACATCCCGACCACTGAGCAGCCGGCCGACCTCATGACGAAGGCACTACAATTTTCGGTCTTCAACCCGTGCTCCGTCGCGACCAGCCAAGTTCGTCTGGCTGACGTCAGCGACGGTGACGATGATGTGTAGCACTACGTATCGTGTCCTTCTGCACGACTGGTGCGGTGACCGGCATGCTGTGTGTTGTGTGCACGCCGACGAATGGTTTTTTCTCGTGCATTCTATCTCTTTGGTTCTGGGTGGACCTTGCGCGTAGGGTTCCCAAACGTGAGCGCAACAGGGGAGTGTTGAAGGAAGTTGGCCCCACCCTCGCTTGGGCAAAACTGACTTCGTGGTCGGGTTTGTGGGAGATGCAGTCGACCTGTGCAGTATGCGAGATCTGGAGCTTTTGCGCAGGTTGGGTGAAGGGTTGCCTGTACATAAGGTGTATTAGGGAACCCATGCAAGAATAACTGAAGCACCCGTGAGTGCAACGTAAACGTCTCGTGAACATGTGCAAGTGGCGCAGCTGGTGCAGAGGTTTGCGGGTCTGCGCATGGTCGTGTCTGACCCTTCGCACCCTCGCGAATGCACAGGCGAATTTTGGCCATAAATTCGAATGTGCCCTGATTTCGACCAATGAGGAGCTGAAAATTTGGAATATCGACCGAGGTGGTCGACGAAGGTGGTCGACAAAGGTCGTCGACCCACGACGACGAAGGTCGTCCACCCGCGACGACGAAGGTCGTCCACCCGCGACGACGAAGGTCGTCGACCTTCGACGAAGTCATCAACCTGCAGGGTTACCCGCTCGACGAGGTTCTGCGGAGGTGCGCGAACGTCGTCAAGGTTGCTGTGGCGAAGTCGACCGACGTGGCAGCACGTGGTCGACGTGTTGTGAGAATAAGAACGAGGAATGGATTGACTAGGAATGAGAAAGGTACAAGTATGAAACCCTAGAAAAGTTGTACCCCCTATTGACTACCCCACTACAGCCTACACAGGCTATATCATGTATGTCTGACACACCCCCATAGGCAAAGTGGGGGAGAACAAGGGGTCACAAGACCAGTCAAGCAAAGCAAAGTAAGCTCAGGGTGGATCACAACGTCACCACACATTCCGAGCACAAGTTCAAAGGCCACAAGGCCAGTTCACATGTAGGATTATAAATCAAAGTGAACAAGCAAGACAGTGATCACAACCTAGCAAAGGTAAGCATGCAGGAGCATGTATATATAGATCACAGTACAAGCAAAGTCAAGAGGTAAGCAAGTAAGGCCCGGTAGGCACAAGACCTAGCATAGTACAGAAACGCTGATAATCACAAGGCTGAAGTGCCTTGGTGAAGATATCAGCAGTGTTGGCCCGAGAGGCCACGTAAGCAAGACGAAGCTGACCACGCTGCTGCAACTCTCGAGCAAGGAAGTAGCGCATAGCAATGTGCTTCGTTCTGTGCTCCAGTCTGTGCTCCTGACAACCAGCATGGCCTTGTTGTCGACGTACAGAACAGGAGGAGAACGAGGCGCCTCTCCCAAGTCGGTCAGCAGGTAGGTGAGCCAGCGTAACTCCTGTGCAGCCATGGCCCCAGCGTAGATCTCAGCCTCACAACTGGAGCTGAGAACAGAGGACGAGCGGGTAGACCGCCACGAGACAGAGCCGGAACCAAGGCTGAAGGTGTAACCCTGTGACGACCGCTGCGTAGCCAAGTCGTCAACCCAAGAAGCGTCTGTGTGACCAGTGAGGACAACTCGAGCCCGTCCTCCAAGCACGAGCCCCATGCCCGACGTACTGCACAGGTAGCGCAACACCCTCTTCGCTGCAGCCATGTGCTCTGGTCGGTGTCTCCCAGGAGCAACATAGCGCGCCAAGATGCTAAGAGGGTATGCCAGGTCTGGTCGAGTGCAGGTGATCAGGTACATGAGGCAGCCAACAAGCTCTGGGTACGGGCCACTCGGCTCTACGGACTCATCCGAAGGCAGAGCTGAGAGCGAGTGGCGAGTAGACAGAGGAGTGGCCTGAGGCGAGGAGTACGTGAAGTCAAAGTGCTGAAGGACCTGCTGCACCATGTGTGACTGAGTCAAGGTAATGGTGCGTCGTGCTCTGTCCCGGGTGATCTGCAAGCCAAGGTAGCTGCGCAGCTCACCCAGGTCTGTGCACGTGTGTCTCTTCTACAACCCCGACGTCACGTGGGCGAGTCCAGTAGTGTCAGCAGTACCAAAGACCAAGTCGTCGACGTACACGAGGATGTAGAACGGCGGCAACAAAGTGTCGGTGCGCAGAAACAGCGACGGGTCAGCAGTAGAAGGAGCAAACCCAAGAGCCGCAAGCGTAGTCCTCAGTGTGTCGTGCCACTCACGGGGCGCCTGGCGGAGACCATAAACTGGCCGCCGGAGGCTCCACTGGGTACCAGGAGGAAACGACCCAATGAAGCCAGGTGGGCGGCGCAGCCAGATCTCCTCGTGCAGGCTGCCCCGTAGGAAAGCAGTGCTGAAGTCAAGAGAGTGAAGCTCGTAGTCACGCTGAGCAGCGACGTGCAGCAAAACCCGAAGAGTGGTCATCTTCGGGGTCGGGGAGAAGGTCTGGAAGAAGTCAACTGCCTGTCGCTGACTGAAGCCTCGAGCAACGTAACGCGCCTTGACGACAGGCGGAGAACCCGGCGGCCGCTTCACCCTAAAAATCCACATGCCACTGACGATGTTCGCCCCAGGAGGGGGAACCTCGTCGACGTAGGTGCCTGTGGACTTCCAGGATGCCATCTCTGCGTCCATGGCTGACTGCCACTGAGAGGAGTAGGGACCCTCTATCGCCTCTGCGTAAGAGCGCGGGGTCGGGATGTCTGTTGCATCCGGGTCTCCCTCAGGGGCAATCAGCATGGACACGAGATGAGGTACAGCGGCTGCAAAGCACTTAAAGTCCTCCTGCATGTCCTCAAGGACGTCCGTGCCAAGAGCACACTCACCCCCGACGGACGGAGGAAAGACAGACTCAAACTCAGCAAAAAGACTAGCGGCGTAGTCTAGACGACAGTGAGCAGCAAAGTCGACAAGCTCAGCAACTAAGGCAGACGCAGCAGTGGACTCAAAGGAAGGGTTGTTACAATACTAAGTTAACTAGAGTACGGGTTTAACTAAGGGGCCTAGGCTTAGTAGCCTAGGCCAAACGGGTGTCGAGTAGTTTGTGCCAAGGAGAATTGAGAATGGTTGGGTTCACTATAGGACCAAAGGTACATATAGCAAACAAACAGGTGCACCACCAAGCAAACAATCAGATAACTACACTATAGTAACTATAGCAAGCAGTATATATTAAATATAACTTTAACACACCCCCTTAGCCTGCTTGCAGTAATAACTAGTGCAGTCAACACCCCCTGAAGGGGTAGAGCAGGCACGGTGGGAGGCGGCAGAGGGGTACGTGGGGGGAGGCGGCGAGAGGGAGAGAGGAGAGAAGAGGAGATAAGAACACAGGAGGAGGTGAGTGAGTGATGAGGAGAGGAGGTGGGGGGGTGGCCGCGGCGTCCCCTCTTACTAACCCCCTTTTACGAAAGGGGGGTTGAGTGGGGGATGAGGAGAGGAGGTGGGGGGGTGGCCGCAGCGTCCCCTCTTACTAACCCCCACATCCCCACCCCCAATCAACCACCCTCCTTCAACCTCACCCCCCATTTCAGCCACCCCCTGGAACCGCACCCCCTCCCTCCCTTCCTTCCTCCAGACCCCTGCCCAACCCACAGTTGTCTCTGCCCTGTCCTTCACACTGCAGCCAGCCCTCCCACCCCCCCGCTCCCGCCACCTACCCCCCACAGTAGCAGTCGCGGGAGGGGAGAGGCAGGGCAGAGGGTGGTGCTCTGCTGGCGGGGTTCTCTGCTGGCGGGGTTCTCTGCTGGCGGGGTTCTTTGCTGGCGGGGTTCTCTGCTGGCGGGGTTCTCTGCTGGCGGGGTTCTCTGCTGGCGGGGTTCTCTGTTGGCGGGGTTCTCTGCTTGTGGGGTTCTCTGCTGGTGGGGTTCTCTGCTGGCGGGGTTCTCTGCTGGCGGCTGGCCCTGGAGCTGGTGCTGGTGCTGGCGGCTGGCTCTGGAGCTGGTGCTGGTGCTGGCGGCTGGCCCTGGTGCTGGTGCTGGTGCTGGCGGCTGGCCCTGGAGCTGGTGCTGGTGCTGGCGGCTGGCCCTGGTGCTGGTGCTGGTGCTGAGGCTGGCGGCTGGCCCTGGAGCTGGTGCTGG